AACTGTCCAGTGACTGTGCTTGAGTCGACTTCCATTCCATCTGAACTCAGACAAAAAAAATAAAAGTTTAATCACTGTATTAAATTACGACCGTCCTGCCCTGTGCTGCTCCTCTGGGCTTTACCCATTCCAGATCCATTAGCGCTCAGGAAATCCTGCTCATTACAGACACACAGTCTTCTGAGTCTCACACAACACTCATCCTCCACAGACTGAAATCAACTCACATTCACACAGACACCGAACCAAACATTCATGCACTCTGTCAAAAACACCACTCTTTTAGCATCATGTGGGGTTTAATATAGCATGACTTTTCTCAGTTACTGCCATCTAGTGGCTGCTCGTGTGCATTCTCATTTTTTTTTATTTCTAAATTTTAAAATCAAGTAAATTCGTCTGGGATGTCCATAAAACAGTGGAAGAAGCTGTCAGAAACTTTGACACTTTGTTTTATTTCTGTTTTGATGACAGTGACTAAGTTACCAAAGATTTATAGCAATAATTATACAATTTTATAGCAATAATATGTGACAATAAAATCTAATTTTATATTTTAAATATTATATAATGTTTTATATTTTAAATATTATATAATGTTTTATATTTTAAATATTATATAATGTTTTATATTTTAAATATTATATAATGTTTTATATTTTAAATATTATATAATGTTTTATATTTTAAATATTATATAATGTTTTATATTTTAAATATTATATAATGTTTTATATTTTAAATATTATATAATGTTTTATATATATTTTGGTAACACTTTGGTAACATTTCAATAATGTTTCATTTGTTAAAATTAATTAACTACATTATTATTAACACAAAATAACAATGAACAATACTTCTACAGTATTTAATAATCTTTATTAATGTTACTTTCAGCATTTAACAATAGATTTTTAAAATCAAGGGTTGTATTTGTTAACATTACTTAATGCACAGAGAACTAACATGAACAACTGTATTTTTCATTAACTAACTTTAACAAAGATTAATAAATGCAGTAAAAAATGCATATTGTTAGCTAATGCATTAATGAATGTTAACAAATGCGACCTTATTGTGAAGTGTTATCTATATTTTAATATTATAATAATATGGGAAACTATACAATATTGTAGGGTAGTACACAAAACTAAACTGCCCTCTCAAGGACAGACAGATCACCACTACTGAAATAAACCAGTAATAAATAATGAGTTTGAACACACACCGACCTTCAAATTCAGCCGATGGCTCGTCGCTTCTGACTCCAGCCATGTGGTGCTGCTGTGTGACAGACTGGGCCAGCATCCCCTCCAGCCGGTCCAGTGTGGCCTGACCCTCGGCCGTCAGGTGAGACAAACCCTCCTCATAGGTGTAAAACGTGGGGACGTCACCCTGACCCTGACCCTGCTCTTGCTCTGAGAGAAAAGAGGAACGGTACAAAAGCACTGAAATAATATGAGAGGAGACACCAAGCCTCAGTACTCGGAGATGATTGACATTAATATCGTTGTCCACTCAAAAGTGGAGAGAAACCGGATCAGTGGTTCTCAACCAGGGGCCTCAGGAGACTTCAAAGGAGACCTCAAGATGGCTTTAAAATGACTTCAAATAGGACAAAACCAGCTTTAGAATAAAATAAAACCAGCTAAAAATCCAGATGTAAGCTAAGCTAGTTTTAATTTGCAATCGAAATTATTATTTTAATTTTTTTATTTAAAAAAAGGGTTCTCATTGTCTTTGAAAGTTATATATTTCTAGTTATGTCATGCTCTAAAATATTTTATGTAGAAACAAGCTGAGAAATTTCCATTTGAGAGTAAAAAAATATTTGAAAAACGGCTAGAAACATGCAAATTAATGGCTCATAAAAAGTATAAACTCTGAAAAACAGAAAGATTATTCATTTAATTATTTATAGAGAATTGAATTACTTTCATTTGAATTATTTAAAAGTAGTTTACTTCATTATTCTAGAATTGCAGAATGTAGTGATTTTAATTTAAATTACTTACGAATAGTTCATTTCATTATTTTAAGAACTTAGTTTAATTTTATTATTTAAAAGTAGTTTATTTTATTATTTTAGAATTACGGAATTTAGTGATTTGAAGTGGTTTCTTTCATTATTTTTAAAAGTTTATTTTATTATTTTAAGAATTACAAACTTCAATTATTCTAATTACTTATAAGTGGTTTATTTCCTTATTTTAATATATTGCCATTCCTGGTTTGTGCAGATAAAAAGCTTTTTTACAGCTTTAGTACCAGAAATGTCTTGGCCTGTATGAGGGGGCCTTTGAACATTGTCTTGGACTCTGGGGGACCTTGGAGTCCAAAAGGCTGAGAACGTTTGTACTAGATGCATTATGGATCCAAATGACACTCACCAGCCTCCTCGACGTCATACTCCTCTCCCACGTAATCGTCGTCATCTGTGTCCGCGTCCTCGGGGTCGGGGTGCAGGGCCTGACAGTCGCACATGGCGGAGAACATGGGCTCTACTGCACACACACACACACTGTTACTCATCCAGCAGTGATGCTCACGCTCAACTCATCCACGCTCGCTCCACACACTCACATGCAGCTTTATCACTGGGCACGAAGCGGATCTCTGTGATGGTTCCTGAGTCTTCACTGTCGCTGTCGCTCTCCTCATCGTCCGAAGCTATATCCTGCTGCTCTGCTTCAGCTTCATCTGGAAACACAATGAAGATCGGTCAGGTCAAACCTCTGGACACCAGAGCATCTCTGTTGGGAAGATGATGCCTCACCGTCCAGTTTTGCATTGACCATCACATACAGGTGCTCTTCTGGAAAGGCGCTGAGATCTCGTGAGATTGCGTGCAGACTGATGGAGGGGTATTCAAGACAGAAACCCATCCCTGAACCATCAAACCAGGACAGGTGCCTGCGAGGACAGAGAACAGCTGCATTAGTACACAGATGTCCCAAAAACATAATGAGCGTACTATGGTAAATGTCCAAAAGACATGGTAATGTCACACTGAACATCATGCCATGCTAATACAATGCTTTT